AAATCGAAAAGGCCGTAAGTCCGTCAAAAATCAATGAGGCGGAACGAAATGCAAACTTGTTCTGTAACTCATCAAGATACAATCACATACCAAAAATCAGCTCAATATCTGCGAGCGTTTAGGGGAAAAGTGCGGAAAACCAAGTGGAACAGACTGACAAACAGACAGAGGGACATACAGATGGACGGACAGACAGCTAGACAGACAGACAGACGGATGGACAGACTCAGAGGAAACCTATAGTCCCCTCCGGTTTCACCGGTAGGGACTAATAAAAAAATCGTAAGATCAAATATGAAATATCAATTAACTGCTAACAATGTGCATCAATAAAACCAATATCTGATGATTTGTTTGACAAGTTCATTTTTCTAGTTAATTGTTCAGAAGTATATTACAGTACCAACCAGACCCAACCTGACATCTAAGCAGTCCCCGGGACTGCTTTGGGACCGCACTGGGACTGCTCTAGAAAGCAGACCCAGCAGTTCCAGCAGTCCCTGGGACTGCTTTCTGGGACTGGTTTGTTCACTCATGCATGAAAAAGGTGACATGATAGCTCCGCCCCATGTGTATTCTGAATTTGCAGGCTCCCTGTTGTTGTTTTGTTTACTTTCAGCAGAGAGGTGTTTAAGATAAAGAATTTTAAAAACAAGAGGCCCAAGGGCCTTAACGGTCACCTGAGTACAACACAACTATTTAGAGAATCCATAAAGTATAAAATGAACTGAAAGGTGAAGCTTTGTTGCCCAAAAGCAAGAAAAATAGAGTGATCAGGATCAAAAAAGTAATTAGTCTACCATTCATTTACAGTTCATAAATTAGGTTCCAATATGTTCCCCATTTAACACTATCATCATACAGTAAATTAAGAAACTATTAGTGCTTCTGTACTATCTTAATTCCTTGTTGAAATCTTTTACATTGGCCTCTCTTGATCTTTGATGAACATTTAATAAGACAAGTTATTTTTGTCTCATTTTTATTTATATATTACTTACAAGTCTACTTGATCATTAAAACTATGAAAGTACTTTTTGTATTATACAATAAAAATTCTTGCATAATTCTCTTATTCTATTACATTTCAGGTACATTATTTACAGTGACTAATTATCAAAAGTAAATGGCAAAGGGGAATAACTCCTCTCAGTAGATTACAAATTAATAGAGCCCTAGCTGGGACCAGAACACTTGACCAAATGGTCCAGATGTTCAAAAATCTGGTAAAAATACCCTTCCTTATTAAAACTTTTACTCTTTTTGCCTCTGATATGCCCAGGTGCAGAGAAGATTTTTAAAGAAATAATGCATTTCTACTACAGATTCATTATATTATCAATAGAGCCCCCCCCCCCCCCCCCCCCCTCGAGAAACATCAGAGCCTCTCACCCTGGGACCAGAAGTTTGCTCATCATAAGTAATCACTTTGTTTATCTGCTTAAAACTAAGGATCAGACAAGATTATTTAATAGAATTAATGCATTTTCACTATATTATCAAGAGCCCAACCCTCACACCAGCACATTTGACCCAGGGGTCATGCAATTCACTACTCTGGAAGAAGCAATCTTGCTCATCATCACTATACACTTAGCTTCTTTGCTTTTTAACCAGAAGCAGAAAAGAATATTTTCAGAGAAATTTTGCTTTTTCACTTTATAATCAATAGCAGCCCCTCCCCTTTTTTTTCACCAGAACCCTTGACCCTGGGGCCATGAAATTCACAGGTTTGGAAGAGACATCCTTGCTTATCATAACAATGTACTTAATTTGTTTAAATAATACCCAGGAGCAGAGAAGAAGATTTTTAAAGTATTAATGCATTTTCACTATATAATAAATAGAGCCCCAACCTAACACCAGAACCCCTGATCCAGGGTCCATGAAATTCACAACTTTGGAAGAGGCATCCTTGCTTATCATAACTATGTATTTAATTTTTTTAAATAATACCCAGGAGTAGAGAAGAAGATTTTCAAAGAAATAATGCACTTTCACTACATGATTTATATAGCCCCGCCCTAGCAACAGAATCCCTGACCCTGGGGCTATGAATTTCTCAATTTTGGTAGAGTCACTCTTGCTTATCATAACTATGTATTCAATTTGTTTCAATAATACCCAGGAGTAGAGAAGAAGATTTTCAAATAAATAATGAACTTTCACTATAGGATCTATATAGCCCCGCCCTAGCATCAGAACCCTTGACCCTGGGGCCATGAATTTCACAATTTTGGTAGAGGGCTCAATGCTTATTACAATCATGTCAACAGTTTGACTGCTTGATGTCCAGGAATCAAGAAGAAGATTTTTAAAGATTGCATTAATTTTGATGGTTTTAGCCCCACCCCTCAGGCCCCAAGAGGGCAGGGACCATGAAATTCACAATTTCTGTCCCCTTTCACCAATAGATGCTATATGCCAAAATTGGTTGAAATTGGTTGAGCGGTTTCAGAGAAGAAGCTGAAAATGTTTAAATGTTAACGCACGACGCGCGATGGACGACGCACGACGACGGACAAAAACCGATAGCAATAGGTCACCTGAGTGACTCAGGTGACGTAAAAAAAGATTTCGTAAAAAAAAATTTATAAGTAGAGATAGGTATACATGTAATTACCAAATGTCTTCAGGGGCTGTAAATTTACATAATTGTAGTCTAGAATTAATTTTTTAAAAAAATGAAAGTATTTAAGGAGGCTGGGGGGGGGGGGGGTCAACAAATTAACCACAAATTAACCACCAGATTTAACTTAATTTTTTAGATATGATATCTTAAGCTGTTAACTATCATTTGGCAAAGAAAAATTTCAAAAATTTTAGTCTTAAAATTTGATCATTTTCTATATCTTCATATGGAGCTCTTCTTCTAAAGGAGATCAATATAGTCTAAAAATGGCCACAACTCCCCAGCCTCTTTAAAAAGGGAAGTCAGGAGATGACTTTTATCCCCTAAATTAAACTTTAGAACAGGTGTTTGAAAAAAGAATATCCAGGCCTATTTAATTAATTAATGCTAATTAAAACTTTAATACAGGTGTTTGAAAAAATATGTAGGCGTATTTAATTGATTAATGCTGTCAAATTATGGTATGTACTCAAAGTTTGCATTAGCGCTATTTAAAAAAAAATACACTTGTCATTACAGTAAGATATTCAGAGGGTCGTACTGTACTGGATTTTTTTTAAATTGAAATAGCTAAAACCATGCTAAAAAAAGAGCATTTCATGCTTTTTTTTAACCGCCCTCAAATAAAACCTAATTATTTATTAAATGACCATGAAATAAAATTATTCTACCATTCTTCAGTCATTTAAACAAAGTGAACAATTATTGGGGGATTTATTTATGAATTTGTTTTGATTATAAACAAGTTATTAAAAACAAGTTATTAAAAGGGTAAATTTATTTAAAAAATAAACATTTTAAAATACTAGGAATTGTGACTTATTTCTTATTTGTTTTGTTTGTGTTTTCCTGGCCGATTAATAAAAAGCAGTACAAATGTATAAAATGGTGTCAACACCTGAGGTTTCAATCGCCTTTGGGAATGGTTAGCAGAAAGTCAATGAATGGAATCAGTGTTACACATCACAGAACATGCTGGTCAACAATGACAATAATTTCAATCTATGTTCTGCAAAAAATCTTCGGTTCAATAAATGTTTATAAATTTATTTCGGGATTTATTAATTTTGAACATAATCTGATGGCTCCGTTCGCATGATTTACAGATATACACTCGAACATTTGTATAATAAGAGTGTTATTGTTTTCTGTTACATAGAGAATCTAACGATAATTAAATTGGCAAGTCAGTGAAAATAATCATGACTGAAACATAATACTCGGCAATGTTTAACAAAGAATTTTTCAAAAGCTCCAGCACTTACGAAAAATGCATTCAGAGTATAGAATGGGAATCGGCCTTGCTCTCTAATTAATAGATCTATTTAAAGCTAGTTCTGATAGAAAATAAATCACTGAAGTTTATTTGTCTATAAAAAATAAATTAATTAATATGGAAACCAATATTAATCACAGTAAATTAAGAAATTGATTTATTTTGGTGAAAAAATTAATATATCACATAACTGTGTTTAAATATTCATGTTATTAGTGGGTGTTAACGTCTTTTTTGTTCAATGTTTATTATTTGTTTCTATACGCGTAGTGTGATTTTCTTAACAGTTCAGAAAAGACTGTCGCATGAGAATTGTAAATATTTGTTGATACTGCTCAGAAAGAAATGCGTCATCAATTTCAACTGCCTTTTATACGTACATTGTTTATTAGTAATCTCATTTTTGAGTAAGCTCCGCCCAATAAATTAATTAACCCCGCCCACTGGGACTGCTGGGACTGCTTTCTTGGACCGCTGGGACTACTGGGACCGCTGTGGGACTGCCCTGGGACCGCTCTGGGACTGTTCTTTAGCAGTCCCAGAAAGCAGTCCCCGGGACTGTTCTGGGACTGCTTTGTGTCAGGTTGGGTCTGGTTGGTACTGTATATATATGGATTGGAGATAAAAGAAACAGATATTTTAAAATTTATTGGCTTCTGCTATAAGTTCATTTCGTTTTTTATACTGGCGCTGTACAATCTACTCCACTTAAACAACACATTCAGAAGTATATATACGGAATGTTGTGCAAAAGCAATAAAATTAAGCTTTTAATGGAATCCTCCAGGAAAAAAGCAATTTAAAATGATTAAGATTACTGATTGAGGTTTTTTTTAATTTAAAAAAATTTAGCCAACGTGTTTAATTGTAAAATAAAACTTTCTACGAATTAAACAGAGATCTATATCTTTAATTTATTTGTTCATTTTTACGCATATTGTTGCAAAGAACGATAACTCTTCAGGCTACGGTTTTTTTACGTTCGGACATCTGTTTCAAGAACGATTTTAAATCTTAAAAAGAAATTTAAGAACTTAAAGAAACATAACAAAAACATTCTTAAGTTAAAATTAATGTAAAAACATTCTCTTTTTCATAAAGCATATGTATTGTTATTTATAATTTTTCTCAGAGAGTTTCGATGACGATGACGTCATTGCGCGTCACAGCAACAAAACAAAAAAATTAAGAATTTTACGACGGCGCGGATTGTATCCAGATAACTGTGGTTAATAAGCAAATACCAAAAATATTGTGATTAATTGGAGATAAAGTGGATAAATTATTATTAATCAGATTTACTAATTTTATTGTCATGTTTTTCTTCACTGGGGACAAGCACCGGTGCAATTATGCAGGCCGGGATTTCCTCTGATATTCTTGACATCACAGAATGCAAATATAAGTAATAAACAACGATTATTCAGTGAACATGGCGTTATGAATAGCAATAGCTCTGCTGGCATACTTTCCATGATGCGCTAGCGCGCATCATGGAATATACCAGCAGAGCAATTGCTATTCATAACGCCATGTTCACTGAATAAAGTTGTTTATTTTTTAAATAAACACAAAATTACAGAAAAAGATTTTTGTCTTTACAGCAGTGGCATATCGAAATTTTTTAACATTTGGAAGATTCACTTCAATTTAGAATGAATCGCATTAATAGACAGTTTTATTGATGAAACTCCAGCTGATCAATTTTATATTACATCTTTTTGCGCCTGATCATCATCCTTGTATTGGTAATGTTAGATCCATCCGGTAAGGGAGGGAACCAAGGCTGAGGCCACTCTCCAGGGCTATAAGGACCATTAAGGTACACATCATGGCAATAATTATACCACCATCCTCCCTGGTGATCAACAGCACAGCTATATGTCTTACTTTGGTCGTTATCCTTGTCATAAGTACTAAATTTTGCCCCATTGATCATGTCTGATGGTGGAACATTCCTTATCCTGTCTTCTGTAAGTGAAATAATCAATACTATCAATATTATCATCGATAGCGCACCTACATAAAAAATGATGTTTCCTTTCAAAAGAAAAATAAAGAGTAAAACGATACAAGGGTTATTAGAATTGATAAAGGAGGATACTTTAAAAATGTATTTTATTTAACATCAACGGTATGCAATTATAATCTATCTGAGATAAATGTTGTCATTTCATTGCTAGAAATTAGCATTTTTCACCGACTCCAAAGAGTAGTGTGCTATTCAGAAAAACAATATACCATTTAGCATTTTGTGACTTCATCTAGCATTTTATGATTGATAAAATGATGTCATATTCTGAAAGTTTAGGGCACTGATTGTAAACACATGTATTTCTCATTTTAGTCTTAACAACATTTATGATTACTTTGATGGACGCTTACGGACATTCATATACCTAAATGGATGAATGAAAAGTTAATTTGAACGTTTATATACATTAAAAGAAATTTTAAAATGCAAAAATTCATATGACGTTTTAGTGGGGAAAAAGTTTCACCATGTAAACAACAGGGAAAAGACTATTTTGCTGAATAAGTTTTTTTTTTTTTTTTTTTTTTTTTTCCAATTAACAATAAACCATTTTGAAACATTTTGTTTATTTATTTCCCATTCTTTGAATAAAATCCAAAATGATTTTAGTTTACATAGAGTCCAGCACTATTAATTATGTAACAATAATAGCAGATTGGGGCTTATGGCAATCAAATGGAACTGTGACGGGTAATGAAATATAAGTTTTCTTAATTAAGCTACATAATCCAAATCTCTGAAATGAAAAAAAAATCGGAGAAAATGAAATTAATCATTCGCATTGTAAATTTAAATTAACATGTGGTTGCATTTTAAATGAAGAAATATATTACAAACCCAATGTTCCAGTTGCTTTTCCACTAATATTCAGGATATAATCAGTGTTTTCATCGGTGATGAAGAAAAATTCATATTTCATAAACATGACTGTTTCGTTGAAGAGAGTAATTTCCATGTAAAGAGAACTACTTTTTTCTTTTGTTAGTTGGTGTATGATGTCATTTCCTGTGAAAAACAAAATTTATTTCACCGAGAAGTTTTAAATGTAAATATTGAAAAAAGACAGAAAATGTATTATATGCATACTGCTTAACAGTATGAGTATTTATTATAGTTTTTATATGCTTTTAACATAAAATATACCTTCAACTAAGCATAAATTGCATTTTTGTTCATAGTTGGTGTCTTTCATTTATTATTGTTTTATTTTTTTTTACCAATCCAGTAGCTTGTAAAAACATCTCCAAATCCCATCTTATATTCTTCCCAATTTCTTTCAAAGCTCACATCGCCGGACTGTCTTCTTTGTATCACCTTCGTAGATATTATATAATATAAAAACATTGATCTTCAAATCGAAAGGTTATAAATGCAAAAGGTGGAGATAACAAACAGTGATCGATGTCATGAAAATTTATAAACAATGCAAATATGTGAAGAGTGTGGCATAAAACACGGACCCCGGGAAATTCCAGAATTGGGATCAGGTACCTAAGAGGAGTAAGCATCCCCTGTTGACCAGTCACACCCGCTGTGAGCCCTATATTTTGATAAGGTAGACGGAACTATTCGTAGTCAATTCTGTACAAAAACAAAGGCCTAACAATTGGTATGAAACAAGACAGCCAAAACACGACCGACTGATAGGTTAAATTTCCTAATAAGGTCATTATAGCGACCATAAATATTATGAAATGCTGACTTTTAACGAGGCTGTTGAAATCCCTGTAATATCAACTTATCAGTGAGTAGACTGCTTCCCTTTAAAAATTAATCGTACTTTGAGCAAGCTCTTGACTAGCGAATAAGTTAGGAGACATAACCACCTTAGGCAGGTGATAGTGGAATGTTATTACATAATTAAGGAAAGTTGACGATGGGAAAGCTAAAGTCATCTCGTTTGTCATACAATTTAGTTGTTAACTTGTCCTTACATGTCTCGTTTATAGTCAGTAAAACACCTAAATATGAAACAGGTGTTGCAGACTGTGTGGTTTCTTTTTTTCAAGTTCACTGGGATATATGGAGTCGACATACGAATGAAAATAACTATTGTTATTTGATAAAACATCGTCGAAATATCTGAATGTTAAATTGAAGGTCAAAGCTAGTGTTTTCCTCTTCTCGTGTAGAAGTTTTTGAATAAATTCTGCTTCATAAGAATATAAAAACAGGTTATCTAAGAAAGAAGCACAATTAGTGCCCACAGAATTATAACAGTTTATTGGAACTTTGGTCTCCGAAGACCACATAAATGTTTCAATGAGGAACTCCAGCATCCCTTTAATATCAACTTCAGAGTACTTGTTTGTACAATCAGAGTGGTTTTTAACGAAGTAATTTTGCTGATGACCAATCACAAAATGTGAAAATTTCCGAGTTCCGCTTTTATTTGAGAAGCAGTTGTCTATGATATCAAAAAGTCTAGATTTCAATTAATCGTGAGGAATTGTTGTATGAAGTAGAGAAAAGTCGCAAGTTTGGATGCAATAGACTTTTAAAAAAAACGGTGATTTTTTAAGTTTCTAAAAGTTCTTTCGTGTTTTTGAGGATCCACATCTGATATACACCAGTTACAGTACCCGCATCGTTATTCTTTACAGGATACACGATACGATAGGATACACTCACGATATGATAAGATAAACGCACGATACGATAGGATACACGCACGATAGGACAGGATACACGCACGATAGGATAAACGCAAAACACGATAAACGCAAAACACGATAAACGCAAAATACGATAAACGCAAAACACGATAGACCTGATAAACGATCTTCACGATAGGATAAACGCAAAACCTGATAGGATTGTTTCAAAATGCGAAACGTTTTTTGACAAGACGAAAAGTTTCCTTTTTAGTAGAATAATAATTTTAATTACTTACAAAGCCGCATATCTAAATGATAAAGTATATTAATTTTATCGTGATAAAACATCTGAAGTAATGATGCTTTGTAAAAGATACATTTTTTCCGTCAATAAAACTGATCGTCATCAAATTCAAACTGTAATTATTTAAGATTAATTCCAATCTATGATGGAAATTAGGCGATTGTTTGTGTAATTATACAAATGTCGAAATTCCATCGAATCATTAAATTTGAATTTTGAATCGTTTAATTACGGAGATTTTAATTTATAGGTGGCTCAAAAATTCGGTAGACAAGCAAAGTTTTACACCCATGTCAATAGATTCACGAAACGCTATAAATATATTCATTATTTTAACAAATAAAACCTTATGAAATTCATAACAAACATTGATTATTTTTACGGAAGAACTCCATGTAAAAAGTGAAATATTTAGATTCAATAACTTGTGCTAGAAGTTTTTTATGTATCCAAAATCGCCTTTAATAATCTGTATTTAATAATTCAAATCTTACAAAAAAAATTACTTGTCATAATTTTAAGGGGGGGGGGGGGGGGGGATTCGAAAAAAAAAAATCATTATTATTATTTAATGTTAATGCTTTCTCCTCAAAGTTTTTACGAACTTGCTTAAATTTATATTTTATATAAATTAATTTTATATAGACTGAGCACTGGACTGTGATTAAATAATCTCTCCTATATATAAATATATATGTTACACATATCCCGTGCACATAGAAAGTATTTACGTATTCCTACATACATTGTATAAAATTGTGTATATATGTGGAAGGAGACCGGCCGAATTCAATAAAATTAATAAACGTCACTAGATCTGTCATCATCTAGTATCCGAAAAAAATACCGCATTTCCATTCTTTTGTATTTATTCTCTGGTATTTCTAATGCTATAGGCATGTAAGATTAAGAAGAGAGCATGCAGTCGTATACCTAAAAAAGTTACAGTGTACCAACATGCGTAGTATACAGTAGAAATATAATGATAATATTGCCCATCAAACAATAATAATGTCTTCAGCCTCTTTTGTTTGCTTTTCAAAACATTTCTTTTTAGAGCCCGCCCCAAAAAATGAAATTGCTTTCTACGCATGCCTGTGTTATAAACATTTACAATAACAGAATTTGTATCTACTATAGACGCGTGTATGCTAAGCTTACAATGTATGTGAATATATTTATCGGGTACTTAAACTTTGTATTAAATAATAACATTGAATTATTACATACTCTTGTATACAACATATTAGAACATACACACACAAAAAAAAATATAAATTAATTTCCACAATACGAAAAGAGGATTTTCGGACTGAAGAATTGTAAATTATTGCTATTAGACTTTGTATTAATTGTTACAAAATTTATCTTATATAGAACTACATCGGCAAAATTAGACAAAACTTTGTAATAAATTATGAAAGTCTTAATCCCACTTGAGGCATAGTCAGCGGGGAAGAAGGGGGGTGTTCCATAACCACTCAAAAAAAAAGATCCAATTCAAAGAGCAAAATAAATAAATAAATAAGTAAGTAAGTAAGTTAATAAATAGATAAATAAATAAATAAATAAATAAATAAAAATATATATTGACTTCTTGAACATAGTCAAGTATTTAATGCAATCGATAAACATTAATATTAAATTCAAGGTATTTACTCGCCTTGTGTATCACGGGAGATCCGGGCGATTTCTTTTAATTTTTTACATGTATCTTTGAGGCGCCTTTTTAATAAGAAAAAAAAATCGTGCGAGGCAAATGTTCGTATTTTTCTGCTAAAAATTATTTACCATATTCTTCGAATAATAAAATGTTTCTTTTTTTATTTTACATAGAAAACCCGAAGATCCGGAAGTACTACAAGCGCATTTTTTTTTTAAATTTGATCAAACCAATAATGTTTAATACTTTAAACCTATACAAATTATATAAAAGTATACAAATGAACTAAATCAACGGAGTTTGGGGGACAAAACTCGCCTATATTTTATTTGATTCATTTATTAAATTTTTAATCTGTAACGGAAGTGTACATTTACCAATTTTCTTAGTATAAAATCTTTAATTATTAATTAAGTGTTGTTCAAACGATATCCAGAAAATAAGAAAATGCATTTTATTGAAACCTAGTAGGATTCAAGGTAAATACCTGACACCAGGTGAGAGAGGAGTTCAGGTATGTCTACGTTGAATACACAAGGGCCGGTCATGTAGGGGGAAAGGGGGGGGGGGTGGATTCTTGACCTGACAAGAAGACAGTGTACTGATTAGGCAGGTACGTCTAGGTGTCGGTTCTCTTGTCACGGAAGCGCTTCCACCTGTCACTTAATTACGGTATATACATGTATACTCACTTCATTTTCACATCGAAATAGGTAAGTTGTATAATAAGAATTAGTATGGTTTTGTTTATCTTTTTTTTATTTATTTTTTTGTTTTTACATCTTCTAAATGCAGTAGTCAAATATGAATGGCAAACACCTATATTAAAATATATAATTATCATATGATGAATTGAATGGAGCATGTTCATGAAAAATAAACTGTAATTTAACTTGTTGACACATCACAGAAACAAAAAAAAAAATAAAAAGGAACAACAAAACTTGCGCGCATAGACAAAATTTATGTTTCCGTTATTGATAGAAAGGATTGACTTACATGTAATAATGATGCTGATATATATTTTTTTTTTATTTATAGTTTATTTTCACACAACTATCTACTGCTTTATGTTTCTATAATTATCAAAGCAAAGTTAATAAATGTCTTGCTTTTGTGACTCTGTGTAAAGGAAGTATAATATTTCTATCTTTGACAAAAAATGTTTCTTACAAATCGACAAATTAAAGAAAAATAATAACGAATGACTAGTAGATGGATTATTTCATGTCCAAAAATAGAATTTGGCTTTCGATTTACACTCTCTGCTTGGTCACGGTACTTGACGTTTATTTATTTATTTTATTTATTTTCTTAAACAAATATACCAGAGTTAGAGTATTAATTTGTGATTCTGTTCAACAGTTAAATTAATCCTAAATAAATTAACAAAACGAAAAATGAACTCGGGATACCTCGGGTGTTTCTTCTCAAGATAAAGATAAAAAGCGAGGGTTTCCGAATGCAGACGATAAACGCAAAACACGATACACGATAGAACCTGATAAACGATCTTCACGATAAACGCAAAACCTGATAAACGGAAAACACGATAGAAAACGCAAAACCTGATAAACGGAAAACACGATACGATAGGATACGATAGGATACACGCACGATACGATAGGATACACGCACGATACGATAGGATAAACGCACGATAGGACACGATAGAATTGTAAAGAATAACGATGCGGGTACTGTATAGAATAAGATGTAACACAGTACGTCTGAAGTTTCTCCTTTACAGCAACTGGTATTTTTGTAAGGATAAGAGCTTGGTAGAGCATTTGTTTGACCCAGCAATGTATCTTTGTTTGTAAAGATTTTTTATGAAGCTTAGGAATCCAGTACAGGTAGGGTAGATCGAACTCACCTTAGTTGACTGGTATATTGAAAATATTAAATACTAGAATATGATTTTGAAGAATTTCTTCTTTAGAAAGTGAACTGTGAGTGTATGTAGGATTTTCAGACGTAGAATTTAAAACAAGTTCTTCCAAAATACAATCATAATAATGATGAGCCTTACAAACAAAGACGATATAGTTATCAGCCTTGTCTGATGGAACCATAACATATTTTTCCGTTTAGTCACTCTAACGCTTTCATCACTTCCGATTTAGTAAAAACATAAACAAAATATTTTTTGCAGGAATTTTGTTTGATATTGTTGTTGTCTAAAAAAGCATGTTTGTTTGTTTGAGAGCCTATCGGGAATTTTTCACTCATTTTGAGACGCCACCACTATCCGGTGTAAAGCTGCAAATTTAGATCTGTACTCGGCACTTACGGTCTTTGAGAAGTCAGGGATTTTTTTCATGACATTACCTACTTCGGCATGAGACCTCGGTTTATATGGTCTCATCCGAAGGAGAGGTCTCCACGTACCGAGTAGGATTCGAACCCGTGACGTAATTTTTGTAAACATAAATTTAAATTATATAATGAAATCATTAATATCACATTTTGAAAGAAATAGAAAACAAAATTGCTAACCCCCATTTAATTGCTCATGTAAATGCGTTTCAATTCAGAAAACTTTTTTTAATTTCATCTTGAATTAAACTAAACATAACCATTGTCATTAAGCAAAACCCTTATTTATCAGCCGAACTATTTAAAGAGTTGAGTCAATAAAAAAGGCACAGAAACATAAAATACTTGTACTAAGATATATAATTTGATTGGTACTTGTTAAAAAATAATATTCACATGCACAGTCCCCGACATTGAAAGTTTGCATCAACATATACTTCTTTTTGGTGGGATCGTGAAGTGTCAGATAAATTGTGTTTATATTTGGCACTGTAGGGGATTAGAAAGAGTGTGTTATTATTTCATTGTAAATAGCCATATTAGGATAGCACTATTTTAGGAGTTCTAGAGCAGTGATCAGCTCCGTCTACTGCATTTCCATGGAAAGAAAAAAATCAACATTTTGAATACCTGTTTTAAGCCCAATTCTTGCTCCATGGACAGAAATTTGCAAAAAGTGTGAACATGCAAATATGCACTATATTGAGATGCTTGAATATTGAAATGAGAATATGTAATATTTAAGGATGCTTACACAACAATATGACTAATATTACATCCCTACTTCTTGTGAAAAGGTTTTAAAACCCCCTCCTTTGATATTGAGTTTGATCCCTCATAAATTCATACCGTACCCCAAGGTGCTATGATTCGAACAAACTTGAATCTCTACATACTGTGGATGTCTCAATATTGATATATTCTTGCTTTTCCTGAAGAGAGGACTTGTTTTCCTGTATATATATATATATATATATATATATATATATATATATATATATATATATATATATATATATATATATATATATATATATATATAACACTAACATCCCTTTTATGTCCAACCTTAGCAAACAGGGCTGCAATTGAAGACAAGTGAATCTTCACTACTTGAGAATGTTAGCATATTTATTTTTTCCAATCATGGTCATGTGGCTTTTGAAATTTTGAAAAGAATATCTTAAAAGGTTGAACTTTGAACAAATTTATTTTTTTTAGGCCAGAAGCTTTTACACAAATTTCGTCTTTCCTAGCACATTTTTTTTGAGAAACATATATCAATTAGCATCATCTTTCTTTTGTCTTGTCTTATTTATTTCCTTCTCAGTTTGAACAATTGGAACTTAAATCCCCTATTCCCGAAAATACCCTTTGCTGAGTTTGGTTTGAAATTGGTTCTATGGAAGAAGATAAAAATTTTGAAAGTTTAATTTAATAACAACAACGGTGAAAGACGATTAGGAGAGCTAATGATAAATTAATTATAAATATCTCCTCTAATACGCTAAAATTTACACTAACCTTATATACTATTTGCAGGATAATTTTTTTTTTCCATATACTTCAAAAATATGAATTTAATTTTTTGCAGCTCAAAACTTTTTTTCGTGTACTGGATATTCTGAATAAAGAAACTTTAAAATTTTTCAAGCCATACAATGTGGTTAACATCCTTTCAGTCTGCCGACAAAGAAGCTCAGTCGGTTAAGCCCTCTCTCTGTAATCGAAAAGTCGTAGGTTCGGGCCCCAAACGAATTAATCCTCAGTCGGCATAAAATATTGATTGATAACAACTGCTCCTTCGCCAATTGTAAGCTCTCAGCACAATTGAAGTGAAAGTTGCGGGTATTCTGATAGAGACCTTAAAAATCAAAGCCCTGTGTCACTGAAGGCGTTTGCACGCTAAAGAACATCACTATGTCACTGAAGGCGTTTGCACGCTAAAGACTTTCACTGCTCAATTGCCCTGTGTGCCCAGTAAAGGGTTGAGCTTAAAGACTTTCACCGACATCTGGTGAGTGAAAATGGGTTAAAAAATACCGGAAAACAAGAGGCCCATGGGCCACATCGCTCACCTGAGTAGCTTTGGCCATGCTGTTCTTTACCCGATTTCCCCCCTTCTAATACTTATTGTGGCCCCGCCCTACCCCCGGGGGTCATGATTTGAACAATTAAAAATCTACACTATCCCAGGATGCTTCCACATAAGTTTCAGTTTTTCTGGCCCAGTTGTTCTTGAGAAGAAGATTTTTCTTATATATTTCAATGTAAAATTGGATTCCCTATTGTGGCCCCGCCCTACCCCCGGGGGTCATGATTTGAACAATTAAAAATCTACACTATCCCAGGATGCTTCCACATAAGTTTCAGTTTTTCTGGCCCAGTTGTGCTTGAGAAGAAGATTTTTCAAGATTTTTCTTACATATTTCAATGTAAAACTTGGATTCCCTATTGTGGCCCCGCCCTACCCCTGGGGTTATGATTTTAACAATTTAGAATCTACACTACCCCAGGATACTTCCACATAAGTTTCAGTTTTTCTGGCCCAGTTGTGCTTGAGAAGAAGATTTTTCAAGATTTTTCTTACATATTTCAATGTAAAACTTGGATTCCCTATTGTGGCCCCGCCCTACCCCTGGGGTTATGATTTTAACAATTTAGCATCTACACTACCCCAGGATGCTTCCATATAAGTTTCAGTTTTTCTGTCCCAGTTGTTCTTGAGAAGAAGATTTTTCAAGATTTTTCTTACATATTTCAATTTAAAACTTGGATTCCCTATTGTGGCCTCGCCCTACCCCCGGGGGTCATGATTTTAACAATTTAAAACCTACACTATCCAAGGATGCTTCCACATAAGTTTCATCTATTATGGCCCAGTTGTTCTTGAGAAGAAGATTTTAAAAGATTTTTCCTATTTATTTCAATTTAAAACTTGGATTCCCTATTGTGGCCCCGCCCTATCCCCAGGGGGTCATGATTTGAACAATTTAGAATCTACACAACCCAGGATACTTCCACATAAGTTTCAGTTTTTCTGGCCCAGTTGTGCTTGAGAAGAAGATTTTTCAAGATTTTTCTTACATATTTCAATTTAAAACTTGGATTCCCTATTGTGGCCCCGCCCTATCCCCGGGGGTCATGATTTGAACAATTTAGAATCCACACTACCCCAGGATACTTCCACATAAGTTTCAGCTTTTCTTGTCTAATGGTTCTTGAGAAGAGGATTTTTTAAAGATTTTTCTTATATATTTCAATGTAAAATTTGGATTCCCTATTGTGGCCCCGCCCTACCCCCGGGGGTCATGATTTTGACAATTTAGAATCTCCACTACCCCAGAATGCTTCCACATAAGTTTCAGCTTTTCTGGCCAAGTGGTTCTTGAGAAGAAGATTTTTTATAAATTTTCCTATTTATTTCAATGTAAAACTTGGATTCCCTATTCTGGCCCCGCCCTACCCCTGGGGGTCATGATTTTAACAATTTAGCATCTACACTACACCATGATGCTTCCACATAAGTTTCAGCTTTTCTGGCCCAGTGGTTCCTGACAAGAAGATTTTTCCTATATATTTCAATGGAAAAATTGGATTCCCTATTGTGGCCCCGCCCTACCCCCGGGGGTCATGATTTTAACAATTTAAAATCTACACTACACCATGATGCTTCCACATAAGTTTCAGCTATTTTGGCCCAGTGGTTCTTGAGAAGAAGATTTTTTAATGACCCCACCTTATTTTTGTCTTATTTTGATTATCTCCCTTTGTAAGAGGACTTGGACCTTTATTTTAACAATTTAAACTCCCCTTCACCCAAGGATACTTTGTACCGAATTTGGTTAAAATTGGCCCAGTGGTTCTTGAGAAGAAGTTGAAAATGTGAAAAGTTTACAGACGGACGGACGGACGGACGACGGACAACGGGTGATCAAAAAAGCTCACTTGAGCTTTCAGCTCAGGTGAGCTAAAAAGACGTAAACAATTAGCCAATCACTCAGTCATCCTTACTGTCCATCCCCCGCCATCTGTTTCCATATCACAGTAAACTTGCACACAATGTAAGTTTGTTTCTCCTCTTTTCCATGGACAAATTATATAAACACCAGACATCATAACTCCTTTATCATAGAGCCATCTGCAGTCCACCGGTGTATCTAAGAAAAAAGTCAAATAGATTTGATAAAGGCATTTGTCAAGATCTATTACAGCAAAATTTGCGGTGAGTTGTTTATCATATCAATTAGTCTTGGAACATTACGGAAGCGTATTGCTGCCAGTTGACAATAGTTTTGCTTTGTCGTACGAACGAGATACTAAGTCGTACAAACGACATGATAAGTCGTAATTACAACATAATAAGTTGTAATTACGAGATAATAAGTCATACAAACAACATACAGGAAGTCGTTTGAACGAGATACTTAATCGAAATAAAGAGATACTAAGTCATCATAACGAGTTAATAAGTCGTAATTACGAGATAATATGTTGTACGTACGAGATAATATCTTGTACGTACGAGATACAAAATCGCACGAACGACATAATTAGTCGGCATAACGAGATGATAAGTCTTAATTACAACATAAATTAAATCGTAATAACGAGATAATTAGTCGTGACGTCGAGATCAACCTTACACACTAAACAAACACAGACACTCACGAAATAAACTGTTCACGTTTGAAATCTTTCATTTACGTATATGTAATTAATTTTGTTTTTCTAGAATAATTTCCGAAACATGTGCATATATTTGAGCGGGTATTTAACATCCCACCTCGAAATATTTCCTGGATCGGTCCTTGAATTTCTTATTAACAGAATATGCAAGATATTAAAAGAGAATTCATTTATATTAATCAATATTGTTATTTTCGAAACCAAAAACTAATTCAAACTATGGAAATAAGTCGGACTTCAATGCAAGAAAATGAATCTTAGTTAATCTTTTAGACTTCCTCAAGTCTCAATGTTTTTTTTCTGTTTTGTTTTTTTATTATTTGTTTATTTTTCTATTGCTGTCCTCTGCTCTCTACCATAGTTAAATTTTATCAAACATAGACATTATCAAAAAGTATGATAGAGAGCAGTAAAACATAGAGACTTGAGCAAGTCTATTAGTCTTAATGCTAACAGATAATTCTCCTTTGCAACATTACAAAGAAAGTTACTTTTCTTAAAGGAAAAATAACAATGTCAGTTGTAATATTGTTGTGTGAAATATGCACATGGGAACAAATTCTTGCAAACATTAAAAATCAAGAATTCACATGTTATTCAATCAGTAAAGCGGATTCGACTGCGTGAGCATCTTTGAAAAATTGTCCGGTTCTATTTTTGATCGTATATATTGGGTATGGGAAAGAGTCTTATTTGTATCATTTATTACTAAGGCAACAAGAAATCTTCCTTGCTACAAAGTACAAAAGATTTATATTTTACCAAGGAAAAAATCCTATTATGTACAGTACACCAGTGCTATATGTTTGTTTGTTTGTATAACGTCCCTTCGATACTGTTTTTGGGAATTGATTTTATCAACTCTCTATACACTTCCCAAGAACACACAGTGTTTCGATCTAATCACTTCGACGAGAGAAAAATCATTAATGGAAAATTATCGCCGCTGACAAGAAATAGTACATCAAAATGATCAAGAAATTTGATGAAAAACACAATCTGAACACATTCTTTATCAAGAAAAATATTTTTTTTTTCAATTTCAATACATTGCAAAACATTTGATGCTACGACTGACTCTAAATAACAGTATTTGCAGTTGTAAATTTTCCCACACTCGGCCACAGTGTGGAAGGTTTCAGTCATCTTATTCAGCATCTGATGTGCGCGAAATAAAGACGTACATATGTGATCAGTAATAAATGTAAAGAGTCCTTTGCTGTCTTCGCTGATTGGCTGATAAAAACTCTCACTGACGTAGATTTAAAAAAAAAATATCTCCATGAAAACAAAACAGAACCACGGAGAAACAGAGATGCATATTGCCTGGAAAAAAAATAAAAAAAAAAAAAACACAAAAAAACAAAACAAAACAAAACAAAACAAAACAAAAGGAAATAAAGGAATAATTAGTCTTTCTTTCTTTTGAAGGTATTCTGGTGATTATATGGCAATGCATAAACATTTATACTAGTAACTACAGCATACTTATACAATATGATAGTTCAATAACAACGGGATTAATAATCAGATACACACTTAAATGCATGTTGGTAAACTGAAAACTGGACCTAATTGATACAGACGATGTTAACGCAACATCCAGCTGTTATATATACGAACATGTATGCACTTGACTGGTTATCACAGCGGGCATTATGTGCTTCCAAATTAATCTCTAATATGTGTAAAGTTCTATAGCCGCAGATAAGATCTTCCCACTGCAGCAGAAGTGACCAACTCGACAAACTTATAATTAACCTCTGATTTAGCAGCCGTTTAGTTTTGTGCCCGGAATGATAATTATTGATAGTATACATGTACACAGGCCGGATTAATTTTTATTAGATTGTAATCTATAAGGCTTGCGTATTATTTTTTGTTTTGCAGGAATGCTGAGCATGTAATTGCCTCAAAAATAAGTTCATTGGTGAAATAATAGGATTCGGAGTGGATCAATATTTTGGTTAATTTGGGGTACACGGAGTATTTCTGGGATGGGATGGGGTTTTGAGATAGTCCATTTCCTCTAACACAAAACTGTGTGATTTGAATCCATTTTGCGAACAAAGACAAAATATGTTGCATTTTGGTGTATGTAATGACATATTTTGATCCCGTTGCAATCTTATTTAGATTCTAACAAAAAATAAAAATGAACAAAATGAAACAATTAAAAATGAATTATGCCACGCAATAAGCACAGGTCTTTGTGGATGACCCCTCCCCCCCCCCCCCCCCCCGTTTCGTTTGGGTTCTTCGACTCTTTATATATAGAATATTCCTCTATGAAGTATTCACAAAGTATTACAATTGGGAAATCTAAAATATAACCCAAAATTAGCCTACTATTAAAATTCACACTCTCTGATACTAAAAGAGAACATTTAGAGAAAGCGAATTTTATAAAGGGTAGTTTTAGGTTATATTATGAATTTTTCTGAGTACAAATACCTATGTGTAACATTTTGCGTATCATGCTCTTTCTCTTTTGCTCAAAAGAATATTAACTTATATAATATAATATAATTAAGAAGCATGCCTGAAAATCATTTCTTAACAACAGAAAAATTGCCATTTCCCTTAAACATTCTATTAACCCTTTGGCTATTTTATTGTATGCACATGGAATTTGGGGTTGTTTTAACAAATTTACTAAAAAAAAAAAAAAAAAAAAAAAAAAAAAAAAAAAAAAAAAAGCATCCCCGGCTGTACAATGAACAAGGCGCAATACAAATTATTCCGCTATAAACTGAAAATTTGCAAATCAATGTACACCTATACATAAATATTGATGTATATATAACCTAATTTTGCTGTACTCTGTGTCCTAGGTACATTTCCCCTACACTTTGACATTATAAGATCAATGATAAGCTATTCCTTTACACTTGGTAAGCCTTTTCCTTTTTCACAACATGTATATTGTGAATCCAAGTCACTATCTGAGAAGAATCTTTATTCCTGATATATACGTTGCTCCTGATAAATATCTTGCTCCATTAATTTTCTAATCACCAGTATTTGTCGTGATTTAACTTAATTTAGTCAAAGTACATCGTATGGATAAGTGCTGTACACCTTATTGATGACAACGTGACAGTTAATGAATATTCGTTATTTTTGTGATATTTTTCAGAAAAAAAAATTAAATTATCAATCTTAATACATGCAACAGAAATAAACATTTTTCAAGATCATATCTTCATCATATGACAACAATGAAGTTCAATATTTCCCCAGTCCAGAAACAACTCATTTTCCCCCATTGGAATTGCAGTTCAATTTTTGTAAATACTGTCTTAAATGTGATTTCCAGCTGTAAAAAAAAACCTAATTACATGCATTTTAAAAACTGAAAGTACAAGATCCACAACTTCACTTAAGATGAGGACGAAATCATAAAATAGCAATTACTTATAAATTTACTTGAAAAAGACCTTGCAAGCTCTATAACCACATTTTTTTCACATGTATATCAGTGTTATGAAAATCGCTTTAGATTGTCAAAACTATTAACTTTTCTTTATTTTGTTAAAAAAAAATGCATTCCGATCCAGGACAAAATAAAAGAGTCAAATAAGTAAAACATTATTACGAATTGATGATATATATTTTTTTAATTTCTGGGTTTTTTTTTTTCTTTTTCTTTTTTTTTTTTTTTTCTCTCATATAATGCATTTAGCAAAAATCTGCCATAACGAAAACAATATGGCCGCTATGCAAATAAACAAAACGTACACTATTTCTCTAGATGTATATTGAAACGTGCACTTAAAGATCATTTACTCAAATATTTTACATATAAAGGAGTGATATTTTCAAATTTACAACTTGTATCACATTTTGTCGAAAAACTAAGTTGATATTAATAGCCCTTATAAACGAACTTTTAATTTCTTGAAAAAAATATTGAACAGAGATACACGTCTTACACGTTTTGGCATATCATTCCAAAGTTATTGTGAGATTTAAAAAAAAAAACCCTTACCTTTCTGTAGAATCGTGACATTTTTTTTTGTTATTTGATCCTCGCTTACTTAATTATGAAGCATTAATGAACATAATTTGAAAACCTGTGAACAAGGTGTTCAACATTAAATTTTATTGAAACCGTCATTAAAATCAACTCCCATCAGTACTTTCAGTACTTTGATTACTAATATTGAGACGCCACAAGTTGCCGGTGGGGGGGGGGGGGGGGGGATGGGGGGTTGCAAACTGAGACCTGTAAATACTCGGCACTTATGGCAATTGAGCAGTGAAGGATCTTTTTTGTACCAGCACCTGCTGTGACAACGGGACCTCAGTTTATACGGTCTCAACCGAAAGACCGGTCTCCACATCCCGCTGTAGGATTCCAATCCGAAACTCTAGTCTAACGCCCTAACCATTTCACAACGCGGGTGACACCAATACTATGTGTGTTGATTTTATATATATGACGTAAAACAGATTTTCGCACATATGTACTGAAAACTGACACATCTATAACAACGAGGACAAATTAAAGCATTTCTATGCATTTACATCCTCAACAACAACAAATAAACATTTGAAAAGAATTCATTTTGATAATAAATTCAATGGCCACCCAGAATTTTTTGGTGAGGGGTGGGATGATAGTTGGTGTCAATGGCCGCTAAATAAAATCCAGCTCATAAATTCTTTGACAGGAAAAAATGATAAATACGAGGGTTGTCCGGTAAAATCGTGGACAAAGCGTTTTTTCTCGAAAAGTAATGAGCGCACTAAGCTGAAATTTTCAGCAAATGTTTATTCATCATATTTAAGTGCATCTTAATTTTTTTGATAAAATATAGACAAAAATAAAGATTTTATTATGCTTGAATGTGCACAGGGTACGGTCCTACGGCGCACGATAAAAAAACTAGGGTTTCTTGGCAAATACACGAGTATTATTTCGAAATAAAAGTATTAAATAGATAAGGTTGTGGTAAAAATTATCCTATTTTTAATCCTCTATCTATTATTTCGATTTTTGTTAAATATCAAGGCATTTGCTTGATTTTTGGCAGTTTACCGAGCATTTGAAATGGGAAAGTGGTAAACGCAACACACGAAAAATGGCGACGTTTGGTGACGTTACGGCGCACCGGAGAGCAGTTCAGTTTGATTTTGATGTAGTAATGACGCCCTAAGAAACATTAAATGACTACAGAAGAACAAAATATATAAAATATCACTAGATTTTTAGTATACAAGTGAAATGGAAGTTTTCTAAGCGGAAACTTTTTGATCGGGTCCCCGGGTAGAACAAAACATACGGACATACAGCTACTGGCAATAGCAAAAGACGCTGTCACTATAGGCCGTCGATATAAGATGGCCTATTTAGTTGAATGATAGTGAAAGTACTGTCCATAACTTACTAATAAATCTTTAGAAGGTTCCATGTGTTTGCGAGATTGGTTCCTCGACTGTTTATGGAGGAATATAGGGAAACTCAAGTATGTGCATCAATGAAATCTCCGAATTTAAGTGGGGCTTATCCAACTTTTATTTAGCAAAGAGGAAACGTGACGCTGCTTTAGACACTTTGACGTTATCATCCGTGCGCCGTAAGGCGTTACCACACATAACATAAAGTCTCATATTTTGTTTATTTGAGCAGATATCTATTTGAAATTTGCTATGTATATTGATGAAAAATGTACTAAAAAGATATGAAAGTTTTAGAACACAGTGATGAATATTTTTCAATCTAGACAACTTGTCCACGATTTTACCGGACAACCCTCGTACATGTATAATATTTTTAATATCATGCTAGCATATAGAAAAGAAATATTATAAAAATGCAAAATCTATTCCATGTGTTTGCATTTGTGTGTGTGTACATGCGAAAAGGTGGTAGTTAATCTCAATATAACAACTTATTGTGTCATACTTACGACTTAGATTATGTCGTTATTACGACTTACATCCTGTACATGTACGTACGATTTATCTCGTTATAACGACTTATTATGTCGTACGTATGACTTAGTATCTCGCACGTACGACATTTTATCTCGTAATTACGACTTAGTATCTACGACTAAGTATATGTCGTTATAACGACTTATTATTTCGTTATTACGACTTAGTATGTTGCGTATGACATAGCAAAAAAAAAAAAAATGCAACTGGCAGCAATACGCAATACGTAGAATATTGATATTTAAATTCGAAAGAAATTCCCTTGAGGTAAGGACTTAGAATTTGTAACAATGGATTATTTTGCTTTGATCGAACCTGTTCTGTATGTTTACGACTTACCATTAAAACATTTCCAGCCTTTCTTTAAACTGTCCACTTGCCTTTGTAAATACTGTTTCCTTTCTGTAAAAATTGAAACAATAGATCTAAAAAAAAAAGCAAATAGCCGTTTATAGATATCCCTGATTGCTTTGGAAGGAAGTAAAAGATCTGCTGTCTTAAAATCACTTAATTTCAATATATAAGAATAAATGCTATTTGGTGCATTTGATCTTATGCTACCTATTTGAATAAATTCAATCAATTATTGAATAGCTAATTAGATAATTACGTATGAGAAGGCTTACAGTGTAGCTATTTCTAGATATTTTCACATAATTAGGATAATAATGCTTGATACTAAACAACCTACTGTCTTTTTCAACGCCGAATAATACAGCAAATGTAATAAATCCAACCAGCAGAACCATCAGTAGGGTAGTGACTAACAATGTCTTTCTAAATTTCTTTTGGGTTTCACCTATCCTCTCCCTTTCTACCTGTTCTGAATTCTCTGATACTAAGTTTTGTCCAATCTTCAAATGCAATAAATTTTATTAGAATATATGCATTAAAAATAAATGCATAATACAGTTCCAAAAGCATAGTCAATGTTTTAACTGAAACATGGATAAGTATGTAAATCGAAATACAAAGAATAAGACAAAAACTTACCCAATCGAATGATGTTCCCTTGATGAGAAAATAATATAAAATAACTACATAAATTAATTGATTAGACGTAGTTTTAAAATCGAGTAGTTAACCAGCGTATTATCAGTTAAATATATTTAACACATATTGATGTAAAACAAGCTACAGAATATCGAATTTATACTTTCCCATGAATTCAAGCCAATTTAGAAATGGTACATTATCATTTTAGGGCAGTTAGTAGGGCCAAGGAAACATGGCGTTGAAGCAAATAAAGACAGATTGACATGATACCCAAATGAGCCACACCCTGGTATGTACCGTGGGGGGGGGACTTTTGTTAAAACCTAAAGCTAGTGAAAGTTCAGCATTTTCACAGCTTAATCTTAATATCCACTTAAAATGCTGATACCGAATTCATCGTTAACATTTAAAGTAGAAAAACATTTTCCGTTTTCATAATTGACTTTGGGGCTTTTTATCTTAAGCCCTATAAAATTGTAAAGAAAACATGGTTACAACACATATTTTTTTTTTTTTTTATGCACTTCTGCTTATTCTTTCAACCCGAACGATCGTCAGTTGGAATTCAATATAATAAAATTGATTTAGCAAACATAAAATTCAACAATTTATTGTAGTATTTTAAATCGATATCAAAGTCATCAAAGAAAGCACATACATATATAGTTCTCCCTAAGATAAAGTGTTTAATTCATAAAGCAAAGAACGACAGTCTCAGAGTAGAGATTATGAACAAGATTATTTCGAGAAAATTAAGAGCCACGTTTTAGTTCAGCACTTAATGGATTTGAATCATCTTTATTCTTATGGAGAATATGAAACAAAACTAAACGTAGCAATGTGAAGAAGAAATTGCATTAGTACAACCATCTTCACCGTTTCTATTATCGGATCATTTTCAATGTAAAAACTGCCTGGTTCTTTTTCCGACATAGAGAAAACCAAAGTATTAAAAATGTCTAAGAAAAACAAAACAGATTATTATTTATCATTATTTTCATCGTTGTAGAAAAAATACATTTTTTTGATAAATGAGGACTGAAAACGCTCGAAAATAAACCAGCTGTACATACGACAGCAAAGAGCAAACCCAATGCTAGTCTTTGATAAAAACAGGTGGTTTTGTAAAAAAAAAAAAAAAAAAAAAAAAAAAAAAAAAAAAAAAGTTTAGAGCTTTATTTGAGTAATTCAGTTAAAAAAGTGTCCTTACAACTTCGTATCCATCGTCCTGGTTCTGACCCATTCTGTTTAAAACTTGATAGGATATATCCATTTCTTCTTTCTATATATCTGCACAAAGAACGCATAATGTATACACATGTATTTTTGTACCTGTTTTCACTATCTTTGTCTTTCACATTGAATTTTACTTGACGATAATGTATGTTTTCCCCATCTATGTCTATCACAGTGTATCTATGTGTATCATTCTAGATTTCCCCTCACGATTGGGCATGTTTTCTCTATGTCTTTCACATTGAATTTTACTTTATATGTGTGTATGTTTTTGCTATCTACGTCTATCACATTGAATTTCACCGGACATTTTGTCTTTTGTCGCTGTCTATTTTTATCACATTGAATTTCAAATGACATTTGTGTATGTTTTGCTGTCTACGTCCATCACATTAAATTTCATATCAATAAATAGGGTTCAAGGTGGGCGTGACCGGTCGTAAGGGGACGGTTACTCATCCTAGGTACCTGGTCCCACCTCTGGAGTTTCCAGAGGTCCGTTTTTATGGCCTGTTCATAAATTTGTTTCTTTGAAAGAATGTTGAGATCACATTCGTCATCCTTTTTTCATACTTAAATGACGTTTGTGTATTCTACGTATGAATATCAACTTGGATATTGAGATGTTCTGCGTGTTTGTTTGCGAAATCTAGATCTATTAATTACATTATATATTTAGATGAATTTGTGTATGATTATAAGGTCTCCAATTGTCAAGTTTTTTTTAGAAGACAATTGTGTATATTTGCACTTTCTACGAATTTCACTATTGTTACTAGTATTTATTAAATTACTGGAAACATACATACAATTTTGCATTTTAATAGAGTAGATGTGTCAGTATGAAGCGAACATTACCACCAATATATATTAAAGAAAAGGAATATTTCAAAAATGGATGGAAATGATTTGAAAACAATAAGAATAATTAGAAATTTTCAGACACCAAGAAGAACTCGCATTGTATTTATTTTCAATAACAACAGTAAAAACTACTGAATTTTAGTTTTCTATGGGAGAATCTATGTAACTTTAGAAAGCAATAAATTTGACACTTTGTTTGTTTTTTCATTGTAAAACTTGTAATTAACAATAGTTAAAAAAAATATGTGACTTTGTTTAAATGTAGTGAAAACGTTTACACCTTTAACTGTTTAGTAAATGACTACGAAACTTTCATTTACCATTGCTACGTATTCCTTTTGAATAGTGTAGTAAACGAGTTAATTGTGGTAAACTATAGTTAAGCATAGTGTCAAAAAATACCCTTTGACAGCTAATACTAGAGAACATATATGTACTTTAATTCACTATAATTAAATCAAAGTACTTACAGTACTGAAAAGTGCTAAGCTAAGTTAGTTAATAGAACTCTGGTGAATAAGTATGCCCTTTTTCAACAATTGTCACAGTTCATCCAATCAACGACCCCTATCGGCATGATGTTCTTCTAAACAAAGCAATAGTTATAGGCCAGTATGAATGTACTATTGTACATAATAGTACATTCATACTGGCCTATAACTATTGATTTGTCATACCGGTATTCATGTACACCAACTCATTTTTTAATGTTAAACATTGTTAAAAGAAAAAGTGCAAGCAACTTTACTGGTCTTTACCGCTAGATCCATCATAAAATTAAGATATGATAGCACTGCGCTAGATCACTACAGCGATGCTATTTTTAGAAAAATGCGCCTATCGGAATATTTGAGGTGCTATGTTTAGAAGAACATCATGCCGATAGGGGTCGTTGATTGGATGACTTCTGTTTATGAAGACTCCCTACTAAGCGCTTGCGCATGCGCTTAGCGCTAAAAAACACAGATAGATACATTGATATGATATACTAAATACTTTGATTCTATTACATGTATTTACTATATTAATACTTAAACAGATAATGATTTATTATGCAAAGATTACTTAACAATACTTTTTTTGAGAATATTTTAAAAAATCCAATGATAAAATGCCTTCAGTTGAGGGGTATGAATCTGTATATTTTTCCCATTGAATTTACGGAATTAAGCAATTCAAAGTGTGGAGAAAATATTTTTGTACGTGTTCCACATTAAATCGAAGATTGATTTGTATGCTATAAATTATAAAAACCTTTTTGTTAAGTAAAAATACTTTTTTTTCTTTATGCGACATAAACAAGATTAAAGCGAAATTAATTGTTGTATGATGACAAAAAAAATGTAAGAGATGAGTGTTTTAAAATCAATCATTTAATTAATGAGTTTCCGACAGTCGATCACTTAGAAGATGCTTGGATGTTAGTATTACAAGTTGTTCCGCTAAAATTAGATATCTATTGAACATTGTTATCATTAAACGGGAGACAGTTAGAATGCAGGGAAGCCAGCCAGCATTTCAACAAGTTTTGGACTAAAAAAATTATGTTTCAGAGTTCCCCAGCTACAATTAGACAAGAAGTAGAAAAATACGTTTCCTTTTTTATATGCAACACTATGGCTGAGCATAGGGGATGGTGATATTAATCTGAAGGAAGGAGTACTTTCATAACATTATGTCCTAATTGAAATATTACTGTCTATATTTCCTTTCGTTTATCAACTTTTGATAATAAAGACAAAGGATGGTGATATGATAACAATATATTTCACAAATTTTACTTCTTGTATAGTCTTTGCTGCCCTCGCGTTTGAAAAAATAATAAATCATTAATTTGGGTCTGTCAATCCGTCCTTCTCTTTACTAGCTGTCAGTGTGTCTTTGTAAAACACTTTAATAATAAAAATATAGTATACATTTCTTTTTAAACTGTATTTCTTAAGTCTTTCTTTTTTTGACTTATTTTGTCTGAGGCGGGTTCACGAATTCCTACAAATTACCTTGTTTAAATAAAAAAAAATGAAAAAGAAGTATAAAACGTGCGTAATTGTGAATATTAGCCTTCCCAATATATATATATATATATATATATATATATATATATATATATATATATATATATATATATATATATATATATATATATATATATATATATATATATATATATATATTACGCGGACTCTGCTATTATTTACTCTTGCAGACGTCATATAGAATTGAAATTTCACAGGAACATATTTCTTAAAAATTCCAATAAATTCTTGGTAAAATTTTTTGATTTTATTTAATGTGTCATAAAATTATTGCCGTTTTGATACTGCTGATTGTGATATACGGAGCACGGCAAAAATGTTGAAAAACAAACATGCGGTATCCAAAATTTTATTCATTTATTTTCCATATTTCACGATATTATTCAACAATTATCTCTAAAATTTCTTCTTATTGTTTTATTATTAGGTATTTAGAGTTCTGGCGTAATATTTGAAGTACTAACAGAAATATTGTAATTTTTCTCCGATGTGACCCCTACGAAATCAACCGCAAAAATGACGTCTCGTGATTTGACGGAGCAGCGCACTTTTATCAAATCATAAATCATGCTGGGAAAACGCCAATAGAGACCCAGAATAATCCTAATGAAACATGTAGTAAACCAGCGGAATATCCGACACATCTCTACAAAATTTTAAAAAAGAATTTTAGACTGATAGACCTTAGTCAAAAGGCAATACGGGAGGAATGGAAGAAGTTCATCGACAAAACACTGATCTGGGCTGTTAATAATGTGATTGAGATCGACTGATGTCAAACCTTACTTTAGAAAAATCTGCAGTTTTGGGGTTTAACACAAACTAAAACACACAATGATAGTTTTATAGTTTTTAAGCTGAATCGGAAATGGTATATGGATGTTTATTCTGAGTGGATAGGGTAACCAAACTATACAGTATCAAATACTAAGGGAAAATATTGAGAAAATGAAAGCTCCCATTTTTTAAAATGCCCGTGACGTTACAAGTTTTACTGCGCCGTGACTTCCTGAGATGTTCTGTTAAATAACTTGAAATTGATACCAACTTATAATATTTTGATACGAAATTTTGATGATCATATATGAAAAGATTCTTTTATATTATTTATGACTTTTTGCTTGATTATGTCATCAAATATATTTTCTGTGCAACAAGTCCTTGTAATTTTTGAACAGCCCTCGTATATATATATATATATATATATATATATATATATATATATATATATATATATATATATATATATATATATATATATATATATATATATATATATATATATTGTCCAGAAGTAATATTTTCACTTCATCAATCATCAGAGAAATCCAGATTAGCTACGACATCATCCAAATTTATTTAATGCTGATTTCGCTGATTTTCCAATAATTTTTTTTTTTAATTACCAGTATTTTAAAACTTATGTTTCTTGATTCAGCTCTGACAACACAAAATAGTTTTTGTTTTCTCCTTTGACACTGATAAATCAGAGTCTTCGGAATCTTTTTTTTTTTTCATCACTTGCATCAATTATATTAAACCTCCTACAGAACACGTAATTTATTTAAAGTTTGTTTCTAAATTTTGATAAGAAATCAAAAACGTAATGGACTTTCTTCGTTGTGGTAGGTAGTGATTTGTCTTAAAATCACAGTATCATCTGAAAATTTTTTTTAGAGATTTGAAGCTTTTTACACATTTGATTTAATAATTTATTTTTATTTTATCTCATAGAAAAAGTAGATATATGACATTGATCACTAACGAGATAGTAATTACACGAAGAACGAAGTCCTTTTGCATATTTACATCAGAAGGAAACTCATGAATGGTGGGTGAAAAGTAATTACATAAAGTTCTGCAAAACATGATAGGAAGGTTAAACATCATATATCTAAAAATAAATCTCGTAAGTAATACTTTGAATAATTCACAATGTACCTTTTAAATTATTTTTAATTTATGATATTAGTCTTAATGATGTATTCTAACAATAGAAAAATAGAATATATATATATATATATATATATATATATATATATATATATATATATATATATATATATATATATATATATATATATATATATATATATATATATATATATATATATATATATATATATGTTACCTTTGATTTTATCCTA